ATGGTAATGATGATGATGGTGATGATGATGATGGTGGTGGTGTAGGAGCGAGGCGAGGTGACACAGGGACAGGTGACACAGTGTGTGCTCGAGATGATGATGATGGTGATGATGATGGTGTGATGGTGATGATGGTGATGATGATGATGGTGTGATGATGATGTGATGATGATGGTGTAGGAGCGAGGCGAGGTGACACAGGGGACAGGTGACACAGTGTGTGCTCGAGATGATGATGGTGTGATGGTGATGGTGTGATGATGATGGTGATGATGATGATGGTGATGTGTTGATGTTGGTGTAGGAGCGAGGCGAGGTGACACAGGGACAGGTGACACAGTGTGTGCTCGAGATGATGGTGATGATGATGATGGTGATGATGATGGTGGTGGTGTAGGAGCGAGGCGAGGTGACACAGGGACAGGTGACACAGTGTGTGCTCGAGATGATGATGGTGGTGATGTTGGTGATGATGGTGATGATGATGGTGGTGTAGGAGCGAGGCGAGGTGACACAGGGACAGGTGACACAGTGTGTGCTCGAGATGATGATGATGATGGTGATGATGATGATGGTGGTGGTGTAGGAGCGAGGCGAGGTGACACAGGGACAGGTGACACAGTGTGTGCTCGAGATGATGATGATGATGGTGGTGGTGTAGGAGCGAGGCGAGGTGACACAGGGACAGGTGACACAGTGTGTGCTCGAGATGATGATGATGGTGGTGGTGATGATGGTGTGATGATGATGGTGATGATGATGGTGTGATGATGGTGATGATGATGTGATGGTGTGATGATGATGGTGTGATGATGATGATGGTGTGATGATGATGTGATGATGTTGGTGTAGGAGCGAGGCGAGGTGACACAGGGACAGGTGACACAGTGTGTGCTCGAGATGATGATGGTGGTGATGATGTTGGTCATGATGTGATGATGTTGGTGTAGGAGCGAGGCGAGGTGACACAGGGACAGGTGACACAGTGTGTGCTCGAGATGATGATCGCTGCCCCAGACACTCTCTCCGTGTCGCTCCTGATGATGATGATGGTGATGATGATGGTGTGATGGTGATGATGATGATGTGATGATGGTGGTGTAGGAGCGTGGCGAGGTGACACAGGGACAGGTGACACAGTGTGTGCTCGAGATGATGATGATGGTGATGATGGTGTGATGATGATGATGATGGTGTGATGATGATGATGGTGGTGTGATGGTGATGATGTTGGTGTAGGAGCGAGGCGAGGTGACACAGGGACAGGTGACACAGTGTGTGCTCGAGATGATGATGGTGTGATGGTGATGGTGTGATGATGATGGTGATGATGATGATGGTGATGTGTTGATGTTGGTGTAGGAGCGAGGCGAGGTGACACAGGGACAGGTGACACAGTGTGTGCTCGAGATGATGGTGATGATGATGATGGTGATGATGATGGTGGTGGTGTAGGAGCGAGGCGAGGTGACACAGGGACAGGTGACACAGTGTGTGCTCGAGATGATGATGGTGGTGATGTTGGTGATGATGGTGATGATGATGGTGGTGTAGGAGCGAGGCGAGGTGACACAGGGACAGGTGACACAGTGTGTGCTCGAGATGATGATGATGATGGTGATGATGATGATGATGGTGGTGGTGTAGGAGCGAGGCGAGGTGACACAGGGACAGGTGACACAGTGTGTGCTCGAGATGATGATGATGATGATGGTGGTGGTGTAGGAGCGAGGCGAGGTGACACAGGGACAGGTGACACAGTGTGTGCTCGAGATGATGATGGTGATGATGGTGGTGTGATGGTGATGATGATGTTGGTGTAGGAGCGAGGCGAGGTGACACAGGGACAGGTGACACAGTGTGTGCTCGAGATGATGATGGTGATGGTGGTGATGATGGTGATGATGGTGATGATGATGATGATAGTGTGATGATGATGATGGTGATGATGATGGTGGTGTGATGGTGATGATGATGTTGGTGTAGGAGCGAGGCGAGGTGACACAGGGACAGGTGACACAGTGTGTGCTCGAGATGATGATGGTGATGATGGTGATGGTGTGATGATGATGATGATGGTGTGTTGATGATGGTGTAATGATGATGATGGTGGTGTGATGATGGTGATGATGTTGGTGTAGGAGCGAGGCGAGGTGACACAGGGACAGGTGACACAGTGTGTGCTCGAGATGATGATGATGATGGTGTGATGGTGTGATGGTGATGGTGGTGGTGTAGGAGCGAGGCGAGGTGACACAGGGACAGGTGACACAGTGTGTGCTCGAGATGATGATGGTGGTGATGATGATGGTGTGATGATGATGATGGTGTGATGATGATGATGATGATGGTGTGATGATGATGTGATGATGGTGATGATGGTGTAGGAGCGAGGCGAGGTGACACAGGGACAGGTGACACAGTGTGTGCTCGAGATGATGATGGTGATGATGATGGTGATGATGATGATGGTGTGATGATGGTGATGATGGTGGTGGTGGTGTAGGAGCGAGGCGAGGTGACACAGGGACAGGTGACACAGTGGGTGCTCGAGATGATGATGGTGGTGTGATGATGGTGATGATGGTGGTGGTGTGATGGTGATGGTGGTGGTGTAGGAGCGAGGCGAGGTGACACAGGGACAGGTGACACAGTGTGTGCTCGAGATGATGATGGTGGTGTGATGATGGTGATGATGGTGGTGGTGTGATGGTGATGGTGGTGGTGTAGGAGCGAGGCGAGGTGACACAGGGACAGGTGACACAGTGTGTGCTCGAGATGATGATGGTGATGATGATGGTGATGATGATGATGGTGTGATGATGGTGATGATGGTGGTGGTGGTGTAGGAGCGAGGCGAGGTGACACAGGGACAGGTGACACAGTGTGTGCTCGAGATGATGATGGTGGTGTGATGATGGTGATGATGGTGGTGGTGTGATGGTGATGGTGGTGGTGTAGGAGCGAGGCGAGGTGACACAGGGACAGGTGACACAGTGTGTGCTCGAGATGATGATGGTGGTGTGATGATGGTGATGATGGTGGTGGTGTGATGGTGATGGTGGTGGTGTAGGAGCGAGGCGAGGTGACACAGGGACAGGTGACACAGTGTGTGCTCGAGATGATGATGGTGGTGTGATGATGGTGATGATGGTGGTGGTGTGATGGTGATGGTGGTGGTGTAGGAGCGAGGCGAGGTGACACAGGGACAGGTGACACAGTGTGTGCTCGAGATGATGATGGTGGTGTGATGATGGTGATGATGGTGGTGGTGTGATGGTGATGGTGGTGGTGTAGGAGCGAGGCGAGGTGACACAGGGACAGGTGACACAGTGTGTGCTCGAGATGATGATGGTGGTGTGATGATGGTGATGATGGTGGTGGTGTGATGGTGATGGTGGTGGTGTAGGAGCGAGGCGAGGTGACACAGGGACAGGTGACACAGTGTGTGCTCGAGATGATGATGGTGGTGTGATGATGGTGATGATGGTGGTGGTGTGATGGTGATGGTGGTGGTGTAGGAGCGAGGCGAGGTGACACAGGGACAGGTGACACAGTGTGTGCTCGAGATGATGATGGTGGTGTGATGATGGTGATGATGGTGGTGGTGTGATGGTGATGGTGGTGGTGTAGGAGCGAGGCGAGGTGACACAGGGACAGGTGACACAGTGTGTGCTGGAGATGATGATGATGATGGTGGTGTGATGATGGTGATGATGGTGGTGGTGTGATGATGGTGGTGGTGGTGTAGGAGCGAGGCGAGGTGACACAGGGACAGGTGACACAGTGTGTGCTCGAGATGATGATGATGGTGATGATGATGTGATGATGGTGGTGGTGTAGGAGCGAGGCGAGGTGACACAGGGACAGGTGACACAGTGTGTGCTCGAGATGATGATGGTGATGATGATGATGGTGATGATGGTGGTGGTGTAGGAGCGTGGCGAGGTGACACAGGGACAGGTGACACAGTGTGTGCTCGAGATGATGATCGCTGCCCCAGACACTCTCTCCGTGTCGCTCCTGATGATGATGATGGTGTGATGATGATGATGATGGTGATGATGATGATGGTGTGATGGTGATGGTGATGATGATGGTGATGATGGTGGTGGTGTAGGAGCGAGGCGAGGTGACACAGGGACAGGTGACACAGTGTGTGCTGGAGATGATGATGATGGTGATGATGATGTGATGATGGTGATGGTGTAGGAGCGAGGCGAGGTGACACAGGGACAGGTGACACAGTGTGTGCTGGAGATGATGATCGCTGCCCCAGACACTCTCTCCGTGTCGCTCCTGATGATGATGATGGTGTGATGATGGTGGTGGTGTAGGAGCGAGGCGAGGTGACACAGGGACAGGTGACACAGTGTGTGCTGGAGATGATGATCGCTGCCCCAGACACTCTCTCCGTGTCGCTCCTGATGATGATGATGGTGATGATGATGGTGTGATGGTGATGATGGTGTGATGATGATGGTGTGATGATGATGATGGTGATGATGGTGATGATGGTGATGATGGTGTGATGGTGATGATGTTGGTGTAGGAGCGAGGCGAGGTGACACAGGGACAGGTGACACAGTGTGTGCTCGAGATGATGATGGTGATGATGGTGATGGTGTGATGATGATGGTGATGATGATGGTGTGATGGTGATGATGATGTAGGAGCGAGGCGAGGTGACACAGGGACAGGTGACACAGTGTGTGCTCGAGATGATGATCGCTGCCCCAGACACTCTCTCCGTGTCGCTCCTGATGATGATGATGGTGTGATGATGATGATGATGGTGTGATGATGATGGTGTGATGATGGTGATGATGGTGATGTTGGTGTAGGAGCGAGGCGAGGTGACACAGGGACAGGTGACACAGTGTGTGCTGGAGATGATGATCGCTGCCCCAGACACTCTCTCCGTGTCGCTCCTGATGATGATGATGGTGTGATGGTGATGGTGATGATGATGGTGATGATGGTGGTGGTGGTGTAGGAGCGAGGCGAGGTGACACAGGGACAGGTGACACAGTGTGTGCTGGAGATGATGATCGCTGCCCCAGACACTCTCTCCGTGTCGCTCCTCTTCATGGCTCTGCTCATCGCTGAGCGGCCTCAGCTGCAGGAGGAGCTCCACCAGGAGGCCCTGGGCCTGCTCGGTGGGGGGGGCATGGGGGGGTGACGTAACGATTGTCACTCCACCACACTCACCACACTCACCACACTCACCACACCACACTCACCACACTCACCACAGCCCACTCACCACACTCACCACACTCACCACACTCATCACAGCCCACTCACCACACTCACCACACTCACCACACTCATCACGCTCACCACACTCACCACACTCACCACACTCACCACACTCACCACACTCACCACACTCATCACACTCACCACACTCACCACACTCACCACACTCATCACAGCCCACTCACCACACTCACCACACTCACCACACTCATCACGCTCACCACACTCACCACACTCACCACACTCACCACACTCATCACACTCACCACACTCATCACAGCCCACTCACCACACTCACCACACTCACCACACTCACACTCACCACACTCACCACACTCACCACACCACACTCACCACACTCACCACGCTCACCACGCTCACCACACTCACCACGCTCACCACACTCACCATACACACATCACACTCACCACACTCACCACACTCACCACACTCATCACACTCACCACACTCACCACAGCACACTCACCACACTCACACTCACCACACTCACCACACTCATCACACTCACCACACTCACCACAGCCCACTCACCACACTCACCACACTCATCACACTCACCACACTCACCACAGCCCACTCACCACACTCACCACACTCACCACACTCACACTCACCACACTCACCACACTCACCACACTCACCACACTCACCACACTCATCACACTCACCACACTCACCACAGCCCACTCACCACACTCACCACACTCATCACACTCACCACACTCACCACACTCATCACACTCACCACACTCACCACACTCACACTCACCACACTCACCACACTCACCACACTCATCACGCTCACCACACTCACCACACTCACCACACTCACCACAGCCCACTCACCACACTCACCACACTCACCACACTCACCACACTCATCACACTCACCACACTCACCACAGCCCACTCACCACACTCACCACACTCACCACACTCATCATACTCACCACACTCACCACACTCACCACACTCACCACACCCATCACACTCACCACACTCACCACAGCCCACTCACCACACTCACCACACTCACCACACTCATCACACTCACCACACTCACCCCACCCACTCACCCCACTCACCCCACTCACCCCACCCCACTCACCCCTCCCACTCACCCCACCCACTCACCACACTCACCACACTCACCACACTCACACTCACCACACTCACCACACTCACCACACTCACCACACTCATCACACTCACCACACTCACCACAGCCCACTCACCACACTCACCACACTCACCACACTCATCATACTCACCACACTCACCACACTCACCACACTCATCACACTCATCATACTCACCACACTCACCACACTCACCACACTCACCACACATCATACTCACCACACTCACCACACTCACCACACCCATCACACTCACCACACTCACCACAGCCCACTCACCACACTCACCACACTCACCACACTCACACTCACCACACTCACCACACTCACCACACTCATCACACTCACCACACTCACCACAGCCCACTCACCACACTCACCACACTCATCACACTCATCACACTCACCACACTCACCACACTCACCCCACTCACCCCACCCCACTCACCCCTCCCACTCACCCCACCCACTCACCACACTCACCACACTCACCACACTCACCACACTCACCACACTCACCACACTCATCACACTCACCACACTCACCACAGCCCACTCACCACACTCACCACACTCACCACACTCATCATACTCACCACACTCACCACACTCACCACACTCACCACACATCATACTCACCACACTCACCACACTCACCACACCCATCACACTCACCACACTCACCCCAGCCCACTCACCACACTCACCACACTCATCACACTCACCACACTCACCACAGCCCACTCACCACACTCACCACACTCACCACACTCACCACACTCACCACACTCACCACACTCACCACACATCATACTCACCACACTCACCACACTCACCACACCCATCACACTCACCACACTCACCACACTCATCACACTCACCACACTCACCACAGCCCACTCACCACACTCACCACACTCACCACACTCATCATACTCACCACACTCACCACACTCACCACACTCACCACACATCATACTCACCACACTCACCACACTCACCACACCCATCACACTCACCACACTCACCACAGCCCACTCACCACACTCACCACACTCACCACACTCATCACACTCACCACACTCACCACAGCCCACTCACCACACTCACCACACTCACCACACTCACCACACTCATCACACTCACCACACGCACCACAGCCCACTCACCACACTCACCACACTCACCACACTCATCATACTCACCACACTCACCACACTCACCACACTCACCACACCCATCACACTCACCACACTCACCACAGCCCACTCACCACACTCACCACACTCACCACACTCATCATACTCACCACACTCACCACACTCACCACACTCACCACACCCATCACACTCACCACACTCACCACAGCCCACTCACCACACTCACCACACTCATCACACTCACCACACTCACCACACTCACCCCACTCACCCCACTCACCCCACCCCACTCACCCCTCCCACTCACCCCACCCACTCACCACACTCACCACACTCACCACACTCACACTCACCACACTCACCACACTCACCACACTCATCACACTCACCACACTCACCACACTCGTCACACTCACCACACTCACCACACTCACCACACTCATCACGCTCACCACACTCACCACACTCACCACACTCACCACAGCCCACTCACCACACTCACCACACTCACCACACTCACCACACTCATCACACTCACCACACTCACCACAGCCCACTCACCACACTCACCACACTCACCACACTCATCATACTCACCACACTCACCACACTCACCACACTCACCACACCCATCACACTCACCACACTCACCACAGCCCACTCACCACACTCACCACACTCACCACACTCATCACACTCACCACACTCACCCCACCCACTCACCCCACTCACCCCACTCACCCCACCCCACTCACCCCTCCCACTCACCCCACCCACTCACCACAACTCACCACACTCACCACACTCACACTCACCACACTCACCACACTCACCACACTCACCACACTCACCACACTCACCACACTCACCACAGCCCACTCACCACACTCACCACACTCACCACACTCATCATACTCACCACACTCACCACACTCACCACACTCATCACACTCATCATACTCACCACACTCACCACACTCACCACACTCACCACACATCATACTCACCACACTCACCACACTCACCACACCCATCACACTCACCACACTCACCACAGCCCACTCACCACACTCACCACACTCACCACACTCATCACACTCATCATACTCACCACACTCACCACACTCACCACACATCATACTCACCACACTCACCACACTCACCACACTCACCACACATCATACTCACCACACTCACCACACTCACCACACCCATCACACTCACCACACTCACCACAGCCCACTCACCACACTCACCACACTCATCACACTCACCACACTCACCCCACCCACTCACCCCACTCACCCCTCCCACTCACCCCACCCACTCACCACACTCACCACACTCACCACACTCACCACACTCCACTCACCGCACTCACCACACTCACCCCACTCACCCCACTCACCCCTCCCACTCACCCCTCCCACTCACCCCACTCACCACACTCACTCCACCCACCCCACTCACTCCTCCCACTCACCCCACCCACTCACCCACTCACCCCACTCACCCCACTCACCCCACCCCACTCACCCCTCCCACTCACCCCATTCCACTCACCCCACTCCACTCACCCCACTCACTCACCCCACTCACTCACCCCACTCACTCACCCCATCCCACTCATCCCACCCCACTCACCCCACTCACCCCCCCCCCCCCACCCCCCCACCCACCCCCCCCCCCCCCCCCCCCCCACCCAGGCCCCCTGCGTGCCCCCACCGTGCGCGAGCTCCAACTGGGCCTACCCCTCCTGGAGCGGTTTGTGAGCGAGGCGCTTCGCCACAGCCCTGTCGTGGACGTCATCATGCGGAGAGCCGTGCCCACGGTGGGGGGGGGCGGGGGGGGCGGCGGCGCTACCCTCGGGGGGGTGCCGGTGGCCCCCGGCACCAACGTCATTGTGGACCTCCGCTCGCTACACTCGTCGCCGGGCGCCTTCACGGCGCCATCAACCTTCAGCCTCGACAACTTCGCACAGCCGGTACGGTGGTCGGGAGGTTGGGGGGAGAGGGGTGGGGGGTGGGGGGTGGGGGGGTGAACTCATTCATTCATTCATTCACTCATTCATTCATTCACTCAGACACTCATTCATTCATTCATACACTCATTCACTCATTCAGTCATTCATTCATTCACTCAGACACTCATTCACTCACTCATTCACTCATACACTCACTCATACACTCATTCATTCATACACTCATTCACTCATTCAGTCATTCACCCACTCATACACTCACTCATACACTCACTCATACACTCACTCATACACTCACTCATACACTCACTCATACACTCACTCATACACTCACTCATACACTCACTCATTCACTCACTCATACACTCACTCATACACTCACTCATACACTCACTCATACACTCGTACACTCATTCACTCACTCATACACTCATACACTCACTCATACACTCACTCATACACTCACTCACTCATACACTCACTCACTCATACACTCACTCATTCACTCACTCATTCACTCACTCATATACTCATACACTCACTCATACACTCACTCATACACTCACTCATTCATTCAACAACAACAACCGCCATTCGCCACTAAGTGGCGGTGACGTCACCACGACGCTTGTGCCAGGCCATGTGCACCCTGAGGCCACGTGAATTGTCGAACGCCCGCTGGCAGGAGGTCACGGGGCAGACCCAGGTGCCACGGGTCGACTGACTGAGATGACTGAGATGACTGGCTGATGCACCACCTGTGCCCCCTACTGTGCCAAACTGCTGTGCTTTAGCCACCCAGCGCTCCGCTCGTTGTTGTGAGCGTCGCTCCTCCGCCCTCCGTTGTTGTTGGAGGGCGACTGCCTCCAACTGCCCAGTAGCGTCCTTCACGAGCCTCCTCCACAGAGGCCGATCTTGACACCGCTGGTACCAGTCATCGGCAAGTCCACTCAGCTCCACGTCCTCCTGTACCACATCACTCCATCTCTTCTCTAGCCCGTGCCGCGCCCATTTAGCCCCCTCGATCCGGCCGAACAAAAGCTGTTTCGGCATGCGGTGGCTGGGCATGCAGGCTACATGACCCAGCCATCACAGCCTTCCCCACCGGAGGAGCTCACCGATGGGACCTTGCCCAGATATTTCAAGGATTTGTGAGCTCCTCACACAATCCAATCTGGTTAAACCCATGATGGATCGAAGGCAGGCCAGCCTAAATGTTTCTAACCGGCAAAGATGTTCCATTAGGGGGGTCCACGTTTCGCAAGCATAGAGAAGGGAGGGAATGACCGTGGCCAAGAAGACCTGAAGCTTAGTGCGGAGCGACAGACCAGGTAGCTTCTACACAGCGTTACGCAACCGATGAAAAGATATTGCCGCTCGACTGATTCGGAGTGAGACCTCTGCTGTTAAACTGGAGCCAGTCATAAGCACACTGCCCAGGTATGGGAAACTCTCCACTCTCTCCACAACTGCCCCATCACCGATTGGGAGTTGTGGGGGTGGAGTGTCCGATGGTACAAAATACCCAGGCAGGTGCTTAGTTTTGGTGGGACTGATGGTAAGGCCCCACCTCTTAGTGGCACGCTCCAGTCTCAGCAGCAGCGTCTCCAACTCCTCCTCTGAATGAGCAGCTATTACCAAATCATCAGCATACATAACGTGGTTGAGCAATAGGGAGCCATCCCTTGACCGCACCCGGGCGTCGATCAGCCTCCCATTATATCTTTACCATATGGAGATTCCCCCGGTACAGCTATTGAAGGCTTCACGAACTACGTGGTCAAAATAGATGTTAAATAATGTGGGAGCCAGAGGACATCCCTGTCGCACCCCAAGGTTAACAGGGAATGGCTCTGACTCCCGGCCACGTAGTTTTACCCGGGCCCGCTCACCATCATGAAGGTCCTTAATGATCGTGAGCAGAGGGTCAGGTACTCCAAAAGCACAAAGTACAACCCAGAGCCCAGGCCTACTGATGGTATCATAGGCCTTGACCAGGTCAAGAAAGCAGAGATGTAGGTCTTGTTGGAATTCCCTACACTTCTGCTGTAGCAGACGGACAGAAAATATGGCATCTGTGTAGGACCGCCCTTTCCTGAAACCGCATTGGGGCTCCGCAAGCCTCTCCTCAGCGTGTCTGGCAAGGCGATGTTGAATAATCCTTGCCAGGACCTTTCCCGGCACACTGAGGAGTGAGATGTCCCTGTAGTTGTTACAGTCTGTGCGGTCCCCCTTCTTAAAGAGGGGGACCACTAAGGCATCCTTCCAATCCTGCGGAACCCGTCCAGTGGTCCAGACTGTTGTTATGATGTCATATAGGGCAGTCTGTGCACAAACGCCGCCCTCCCTCAGCATTTCGCTTGGGAGATCATCTCTGCCCGCTGCCTTTCCTGGTCTCAGACTCCGGATCGCCTTCAGTACTTCCTCAACAGATGGCACCTCAGCCAGCCACTCACAGGGGGTGACTTCTTCCAATATTTGAGGCACCGCAGCCTCAGCAGGGTCATCCTCACTTTGTGCCACGATGTTTTCCTGGCTGAGGGATTTTCCCTCCCCCAGGACCTCACAGAAATGCTCAGCAAATCTGCAAACCTGTTCCTGGGGGTCGGAGATTGGGTCACCGTTTTTTCCCCTAATGATGGTAATAGGTGTGGCGCTGCAGATTACTTTTTTGATGGAGTTAAATAGAGATTTGTGATCACGGGCCACTGAGGCAGACTCCATCTCCTCAGCAACCCGCGACCACCACCCATCCTTGCAGCGCCTCACGGCTCTCCGAACCTCCGAGCGAAGGCTGCGGTAAGCCTCCTCATTCTCTGACGTGGGATTCTGTAGCCGATGACAGTGGGCCTGTCGCTTTTTCTCAACCATCCTGAACACCTCCTCTGTCAGCTAAGGTCTCTGGGGAGGTCTGGACCGCGTACCCAAAGCAGCCATTGCAGCTGCATGAGTCACAGTCCTAAACCTCGCCCATTTACCCTTGACATCAGGAGGAATCGGGGACGATGCCAATCCCAGCCGCAAGCGATGATGAAATTCTCGCTTGCAACTTTCATCAGATAACTGAGACCAGGCCACTTTAGGTTGGAATGGGGTCCTGGGTGTACACCCTCCACCGGAGTGGAAGAATGGCAGGCGCATCTTACAGATGGCTAGTCGATGGTCAGAGGGCAGATCAGCTCCACGGTAGGTCCTGGTATCAAGGACATGGGCTCGCATCTGCTGGTCTGTCACTATGTAGTCCAGCAGATGTTCTTGCTTGGACCCGGCATGCATCCATGATGTTGTGTGGTTGAAGTCACCCAATATGATGACTCTATCCCGAGGGGCCACTTTAGCCAGCACCTGTGACAGGAGGTCATAGAATGCATCTGACTCATCGGCTTTGCCTGCATCCCTCCACGGATGTTCATCTTCGGTGGGGGCATGAGTAACCACAACCACCATTCCTCGCCTCCGGTTGATGGGAAGGCGAGCCCAAAGTAGCCTGGGACTTACAGCTTCCCACACCTCACCGCCACGCTCCCACGCCCCCTTCATTCTTTTGTTCAAAAGAAGAGCCACACCCTGTTGTTTGGCAGTCTGCTGCCCCGAGTAGAGGACTGTCCACCCCTCATGGTGGCAGGAGCCAGAGCCGGTCCACCGGACCTCCTGAATGCCACATAGATCCAGGCGGTACCGGTCCAGCTCCCGACAGAGGAGTGGCAGCCTCTCCTCCGCAGTGAGCGTTCGAACATTCCACGTGGCCAACCGTAGTGGCTTTTCGTTGTTTCTGGAGGAGCCCCGAGGGTAGATATTCAATCTCCTGGCTCCGCCAATTGGGGTTTGGCCAGGAGACGTCATAGACGCCTGGCCCCCCGGGGCCTCCGGCACAAGCTTATTAGTTACAATTTTCAGTTTAACTCGTGGTTTAGTGGTAATTAATTGAAGGTGGAGGGGTTACCAGCCCCTCGCACCCGTCCAGAGCCCCCGTTTAGCCCCTGTGGTGGACACATATGCCATGAGGGGAGGAGCCAATCACAATTGGACCTCCCACCACAGCACTGTCCACTCACTCATTCACTCACTCATACACTCACACACTCACTCATACACTCACTCATACACTCACTCATACACTCACACACTCATACACTCACACACTCATACACTCACTCACTCATACACTCACTCACTCATACACTCACTCACTCATTCACTCACTCATACACTCACTCACTCATACACTCACTCATACACTCACGCATCCACTCACTCACGCATCCACTCACTCACTCACACATTCATTCATCCACTCATCCACTCACTCACTCATCCACTCACTCACTCATCCACTCACTCACTCATCCACTCACTCATCCACCCACTCACTCATCCACTCACTCATCCACTCGCTCGCTCACTCATACACTCGCTCGCTCACTCATCCACTCACTCACTCATACACTCACTCACTCATCCATCCACTCATCCACCCACTCATCCACTCACTCATCCACTCACTCATCCACCCACTCATCCACTCACTCACTCACTCATCCACCCACTCATCCACCCACTCATCCACTCACTCATCCACTCACTCACTCATTCATCCACTCACTCATCCACCCACTCATCCACTCACTCACTCATACACTCACTCATCCATCCACTCATCCACTCATCCACTCACTCATCCACTCACTCATTCATCCACTCACTCATCCACCCACTCATCCACCCACTCATCCACCCACTCATCCACTCACTCATTCATCCACTCACTCATCCACCCACTCATCCACTCACTCACTCATCCACTCACTCACTCATCCACTCACTCACTCATCCACTCACTCACTTACTCATCCACTCGCTCATCCACTCGCTCATCCACCCACTCATCCACTCACTCATCCACCCACTCATCCACTCACTCATCCACCCACTCATCCACTCACTCACTCACTCACCCACTCACTAGCTCGCTCACTCACGCATCAATCTACTGAACCACTCACTAACTCGTGTCCACCTCCACCACCACCACCTCCACCACCCCCACCACCACCACCGCCGCCGCCCCCAGGTCCCTCCACGGCACTTCCAACCCTTCGGCAGCGGCCCACGGGGCTGCTCCGGCAAGCTGGCGGCGGTGGTGATGGTGAAGGCGACGCTCGTCACTCTGCTGCGCTCGCATCGACTCCACGCCGTGGCTGCCGGCGACGCTCTCAGAGGCCTCGGCACCAGCGGCGACCTCGCGGTCCACCCCCACGAGGGACAGGCGGGGCTCGTCCTGGCCTTGCTGAAGAGGGGCCACGGAGGTGGTGGTGGTGACGGTGGTGACGGTGACGGTGGTGGTGACGGTGGTGACGGTGGTGGTGGTGGTGATAGTGATGGTGATGGTGACCGTGGTGGTGATTGGAGTGTGGAGACCCACAGCCATTAAAGTTGTGCGTCATGGTGGCGGTGGTGACGGTGGTGGTGGTGATGGTGGTGGTGATGGTGGTGGTGATGGTGGTGGTGATGGTGGTGGTGGTGGTGATGGTGGTGGTGACGGTGGTGACGGTGGTGGTGGTGACGGTGGCGGTGGCGGTGGTGGTGATTGGAGTGTGGAGACCCACAGCCATTAAAGTTGTGCGTCATGGTGATTGTGGTGGTGGTGGTGATGGTGGTGGTGATGGAGGTGGTGGCGGTGACGGTGGTGACGGTGGTGACGGTGGTGGTGATGGAGGTGGTGATTGGAGTGTGGAGACCCACAGCCATTAAAGTTGTGTGTCATGGTGATTGTGGTGGTGGCGGTGGTGACAGTGGTGGTGATGGTGAAAGTGGTGGTGACGGTGGTGGTGGTGACGGTGGTGGTGACGGTGGTGGTGACGGTGGTGGTGGTGGTGGCGACGGTGGTGACAGTGATGGTGGTGGTGGTGATGGAGATGGTGATTGGAGTCTGGAGATCCACAGCTATTAAAGTTGTGTGTCATGGTGATTGTGGTGGTGGTGATGGTGGTGGTGGTGAAGGTGGTGGTGGTGAAGGTGGTGGTGGTGGTGGTGGTGAAGGTGGTGGTGACGGTGGTGGCGGTGATTGAGGTGGTGACGGTGGTGGTGGTGGTGGTGATGATGGTGGTGGTGGTGGTGACGGTGGTGGTGATGGAGGTGGTGGTGATGGAGGTGGTGACGGAGGTGGCGGTGATGATGGTTAATGGTGGTGATGATCGTGGTGAAGGAGGTTAACATTGGAGTCTGGTGACCTACAGTCATTAAACCTGTGGATCTCAAGGTGGTGGTGCTGGTGATGATGGTGATGATGGTGGTGGTGATGATGGTGGTGGTGATGATGGTGGTGGTGATGATGGTGGTGGTGGTGGTGATTATGGTGATTGCAGTCTTAGATCCACAGAGTAGAGACCGGGTCTCAGGGTGTCTAGAGCAGAGACCGGGTCTCAGGATCAGTGTCTAGAGTAGAGACTGGGTCTCAGGGTCAGTGTCTAGAGTAGAGACCGGGTCTCAGGGTGTCTAGAGTAGAGACCGGGTCTCAGGGTCTCAGGGTGTCTAGAGTAGAGACCGGGTCTCTGGGTCAGAGTCTAGAGTAGAGACCGGGTCTCTGGGTCAGAGTCTAGAGTAGAGACCGGGTCTCAGGGTCAGAGTCTAGAGTAGAGACCGGGTCTCAGGGTCAGTGTCTAGAGTAGAGACCGGGTCTCAGGGTCAGTGTCTAGAGTAGAGACTGGGTCTCAGGGTCAGTGTCTAGAGTAGAGACCGGGTCTCAGTGTCTAGAGTAGAGACCGGGTCTCAGGGTCAGTGTCTAGAGTAGAGACCGGGTCTCAGGGTCAGTGTCTAGAGTAGAGACCGGGTCTCAGGGTGTCTAGAGTAGAGACCGGGTCTCAGGGTCTCAGGGTGTCTAGAGTAGAGACCGGGTCTCTGGGTCAGAGTCTAGAGTAGAGACCGGGTCTCTGGGTCAGAGTCTAGAGTAGAGACCGGGTCTCAGGGTCAGAGTCTAGAGTAGAGACCGGGTCTCAGGGTCAGTGTCTAGAGTAGAGACCGGGTCTCAGGGTCAGAGTCTAGAGTAGAGACCGGGTCTCAGGGTGTCTAGAGTGGAGACCGGGTCTCAGGGTCAGTGTCTAGAGTAGAGACCGGGTCTCAGAGTCAGAGTCTAGAGTAGAGACCGGGTCTCAGGATCAGAGTCTAGAGTAGAGACCGGGTCTTAGAGTCTAGAGTAGAGACCGAGTCTCAGGGTCAGTGTCTAGAGTAGAGACCGGGTCTCAGGGTCAGTGTCTAGAGTAGAGACCGGGTCTCAGGGTCAGTGTCTAGAGTAGAGACCGGGTCTCAGTGTCTAGAGTAGAGACCGGGTCTCAGAGTCTAGAGTAGAGACCGGGTCTCAGGGTCTAGAGTAGAGACCGGGTCTCAGGGTCAGGGTCTAGAGTAGAGACCGGGTCTCAGAGTCTAGAGTGAAGACCGGGTCTCAGAGTCTCAGTGTCCAGAGTAGAGACCGGGTCTCAGGGTCAGTGTCTAGAGTAGAGACCGGGTCTCAGGTTCAGTGTCTAGAGTTGAGACCGGGTCTCAGTGTCTAGAGTAGAGACCGGGTCTCAGGGTCTCAGTGTCTAGAGTAGAGACCGGGTCTCAGGGTCAGTGTCTAGAGTAGAGACCGGGTCTCAGGGTCAGGGTCTAGAGTAGAGACCGGGTCTCAGTGTCTCAGTGTCTAGAGTAGAGACCGGGTCTCAGGGTCAGTGTCTAGAGTAGAGACCGGGTCTCAGGGTCTCAGTATCTAGAGTAGAGACCTGGTCTCAGTGTCTAGAGTAGAGACCGGGTCTCAGGGTCTCAGAGTCTAGAGTTGAGACCGGGTCTCAGGGTCAGTGTCTAGAGTAGAGACCGGGTCTCAGTGTCAGTGTCTAGAGTAGAGACCAGGTCTCAGAGTCTCAGTGTCTAGAGTAGAGACCGGGTCTCAGGGTCAGTGTCTAGAGTAGAGACCAGGTCTCAGAGTCTCAGTGTCTAGAGTAGAGACCGGGTCTCAGGGTCAGTGTCTAGAGTAGAGACCGGGTCTCAGGGTCTCAGTATCTAGAGTAGAGACCTGGTCTCAGTGTCTAGAGTAGAGACCGGGTCTCAGGGTCTCAGAGTCTAGAGTTGAGACCGGGTCTCAGGGTCAGTGTCTAGAGTAGAGACCGGGTCTCAGTGTCAGTGTCTAGAGTAGAGACCGGGTCTCAGTGTCTAGAGTAGAGACCGGGACTCAGGGTCAGTGTCTAGAGTAGAGACCGGGACTCAGGGTCAGTGTCTAGAGTAGAGACCGGGTCTCAGGGTCAGTGTCTAGAGTAGAGACCGGGTCTCAGGGTCAGTGTCTAGAGTAGAGACCGGGTCTCAGGGTCAGTGTCTAGAGTAGAGACCGGGTCTCAGGGTCAGTGTCTAGAGTAGAGACTGGGTCTCAGAGTCTCAGTGTCTAGAGTAGAGACCGGGTCTCAGGGTCAGTGTCTAGAGTAGAGACCGGGTCTCAGAGTCTCTGTGTCTAGAGTAGAGACCGGGTCTCAGAGTCTAGAGTAGAGACCGGGTCTCAGGGTCAGGGTCTAGAGTAGGGACCGGGTCTCAGGGTCAGGGTCTAGAGTAGAGACCGGGTCTCAGGGTCAGTGTCTAGAGTAGAGACCGGGTCTCAGGGTCAGTGTCTAGAGTAGAGACCGGGTCTCAGAGTCCCAGTGTCTAGAGTAGAGACCGGGTCTCAGGGTCAGTGTCTAGAGTAGAGACCGGGTCTCAGAGTCTCTGTGTCTAGAGTAGAGACCGGGTCTCAGTGTCTAGAGTAGAGACCGGGTCTCAGGGTCAGTGTCTAGAGTAGAGACCGGGTCTCAGGGTCAGTGTCTAGAGTAGAGACTGGGTCTCAGGGTCAGTGTCTAGAGTAGAGACCGGGTCTCAGTGTCTAGAGTAGAAACCGGGTCTCAGTGTCTAGAGTAGGGACCGGGTCTCAGTGTCTAGAGTAGAGACCGGGTCTCAGGGTCTCTGTGTCTAGATTAGAGACCGGGTCTCAGGGTCAGTGTCTAGAGTAGAGACCGGGTCTCAGAGTCTCTGTGTCTAGAGTAGAGACCGGGTCTCAGTGTCTAGAGTAGAGACCGGGTCTCAGGGTCTCTGTGTCTAGATTAGAGACCGGGTCTCAGGGTCAGAGTCTAGAGTAGAGACCGGGTCTCAGTATCAGTGTCTAGATTAGAGACCGGGTCTCAGGGTCAGTGTCTAGAGTAGAGACCGGGTCTCAGGGTCAGTGTCTAGAGTAGAGACCGGGTCTCAGGGTCAGTGTCTAGAGTAGAGACCGGGTCTCAGGGTCAGGGTCTAGAGTAGAGACCGGGTCTCAGGGTCAGAGTCTAGAGTAGAGACCGGGTCTCAGGGTCAGAGTCTAGAGTAGAGACCGGGTCTCAGAGTCTAGAGTTGGGACCGGGTCTCTGGATCAGAGTCTAGAGTAGAGACCGGGTCTCAGAGTCTCAGAGTCTAGAGTTGGGACCGGGTCTCTGGGTCAGAGTCTAGAGTAGAGACCGGGTCTCTGGGTCAGAGTCTAGAGTAGAGACCGGGTCTCAGTGTCAGAGTCTAGAGTAGAGACCGGGTCTCAGTGTCTCAGTGTCTAGAGTAGAGACCGGGTCTCAGGGTCAGTGTCTAGAGTAGAGACCGGGTCTCAGGGTCTAGAGTAGAGACCAGGTCTCAGGGTCAGTGTATAGAGTAGAGACCGGGTCTCAGGGTCTAGAGTAGAGACCAGGTCTCAGGGTCAGTGTCTAGAGTAGAGACCGGGTCTCAGGGTCTAGAGTAGAGACCGGGTCTCAGGGTCAGAGTCTAGAGTAGAGACCGGGTCTCAGGGTCTACAGTAGAGACTGGGTCTCAGGGTAAGTGTATAGAGTGGAGACCGGGTCTCAGGGTCAGAGTCTAGAGTAGAGACCGGGTCTCAGGGTCTCAGAGTCTAGAGTAGAGACCGGGTCTCAGGGTCAGAGTCTAGAGTAGAGACCGGGTCTCAGGGTCAGAGTCTAGAGTAGAGACCGGGTCTCAGGGTCTCAGAGTCTAGAGTAGAGACCGGGTCTCAGGGTCTCAGTGTCTAGAGTAGAGACCGGGTCTCAGGGTCAGTGTCTAGAGTAGAGACTGGGTCTCAGTGTCAGTGTCTAGAGTTGGGACCGGGTCTCAGGGTCAGTGTCTAGAGTAGAGACCGGGTCTCAGGGTCAGTGTCTAGAGTAGAGACCGGGTCTCAGTGTCTAGAGTAGAGACCGGGTCTCATGGTCAGTGTCTAGAGTAGAGACCGGGTCTCAGTGTCTCAGTGTCTAGAGTAGAGACCGGGTCTCAGGGTCTCAGTGTCTAGAGTAGAGACCGGGTCTCAGGGTCAGTGTCTAGAGTAGAGACCGGGTCTCAGGGTCAGTGTCTAGAGTAGAGACTGGGTCTCAGAGTCTAGAGTAGAGACCGGGTCTCAGGGTCAGGGTCTAGAGTAGGGACCGGGTCAGGGTCTAGATTAGAGACCGGGTCTCAGGGTCAGTGTCTAGAGTAGAGACCGAGTCTCAGGGTCAGTGTCTAGAGTAGAGACCGGGTCTCAGAGTCTAGAGCAGAGACCGGGTCTCAGGGTCAGGG